AATATTCTCGGTTTAACTGTGCCAACGTCAATTACGTGTGACTTGGGAATATTTTCGTCTTTTTTACATGTTCTGACATAGACTAATGTTAAATGCCCAAAGAATTTCAAAAAAATAGTATTTTGTAAAAGTAAAAGTGGGGGTTTGATGGTAGTCTCCATAAAATTTCCAATAAAATATCTTAAGAGTTTTAGAAATCCTACATAAAATATTATAAAAAACAAAAAGATTCTTTCAGTCAGACCGTGCAAGTGCAAGTGTGCAGCTACAGACCAAAGCCATGATCAGACGCCTAGATCCTTGGCCAGCTTCACCTTCATTGAATCTGCTTCTTCCTAAATCTCCTTAGGCATCCAAGTTACCATCGTATTATATGGTCATTCCTATCCCGAGCTCAATATGCCAATTAACAGCAACACTACCCAACTGAGCAGCAACACTACCCAACTGAGCATTTTACTAACAAATATATATATATATATAATATGATGAGAACTTGTTCTACACAAACGATAGATTAAAGGAATAGATTCTGTGGAGAAGATATGTAATTGTTTACAGCCGACAATGATCCATTGAGTTGACTAAAACAAACACAGAACAATACGACAAAGATATAATTGGAACTCTACAAGTCGCCATCAATCCTTTTAACACTTAAAGACTAAAATCAACTTCAGACGGTAGACAAAGGGAGTCTCAGAATAATCAAAGGGGCTGTTTCAGTCTTAAACTATAGTAGTACACTTCCCCATTCCCCAATAAACTGTAAATTTAAGTATTTGTGCATACGCATAAGATCCATCTATCTCTCTCTCTCACCTATCAATCAATCGTCTAAGTAGTAGTATGAGCCCGCAGCTTTTTGCTCCTTGTCCTTGGTAGACTCTAACTTGTTGATCCTTGGCCTGAAGTTTGTTGGATCTCGTCTGAATGTGATGTTCAGGTGCTGCAAAGGACAAGACCTTAGTTCGCCTGTTTACAAGGAGATTGATTCATAACAACGCTAAAAGGTCTTAAAGAGTGTTAGTTAGATTACCGATAAGAAGAGGTTCATTCCGCTGAGCAGCGACTGTGGTGAGTGAGCAATACACTTGACAGCTGGCTGTCCTTCATACACAATGACTCGGTCCGCAAGATACGTCGCCATTATAAAGTCATGCTCCACAATAAACGCTGTTTTCTTTGCATGCAGGATGAACCGTTTTATCACCTTTGAAGCTGCGATCCGCTGCTCTGAGTCCAAATGCGCACTTGGCTCATCGATCAGATAGATATCAGCAGGCTTCCCGAGGCATAGAGTAATGGCAACCCTCTGCTTCTCTCCACCCGACAGGGTTTTTACCACTTGATCCAACAACGGCTCAATCTGAAGCGGTCTTATTACATCTGACACAAACTGAGGATGCATATATGCATCACGAATCTTATCATGTAGCAACTGTCTCACTGTACACTCGCGCTTCGAGTCATTCCCTTGCGGCTTGTACGACATATTAAACTCTGGCATATCCGAGTCTACACCCTCTTCACGAGGGAATGCGCCTGCCTGCATTAGGATACACATATCTTTCCTTCAACGTCTAACCACAATAAGCAGAGAAAACAAAGCAAATAAATTTTACCAGCATCCGGATGAAGGTCGTTTTCCCTGTACCATTCTCTCCGAGCATTACAATTATCTGAGAGTCTGTGAACTCCCCTTCCATCACTTCCAGCTTGAAACCCCCAAGTTGCTTACTCATGTTTGGGTATTTGTATCTTGCATAGGACTCCACTTCTTCATCAGTCTCTTGTGTAGTATCAGAAACCTTGGAAAGAGAAGAATAAACCATATAAGTAACAAGACTCACAAATGACAACCACTAATCTTGGAGGCCACTGAAAAAAGCTTTACCCTGAAGGTCAGAGATTCATCCCTGAAACGCAAGTTTTCTGTGGGGATAAACCCGGCCAAGAACACGTTGATTCCTTCTCTGACAGAAAAGGGGAGAGTCACGACACCATATGCTCCTGGCTTCCCATACAAACAGCAAACGAAATCCGAGAGATAGTCAAGGACGCTGAGGTCGTGCTCCACAACAATTACGTAGCTACAACAACAAAAAGGCGAAGTCAGTGAAAGCAGCATGCATCTTATTCTGGTAAATAAACTCAAATTAAAGGAGTTCAGAAGATGAGAAAATCAAACCTGTCATGCCTGAGGAGCGAGCGTATAACTTGAGCAGCTTTGAGTCTCTGCCTCACATCGAGGTAACTAGATGGTTCATCAAACATGTATATATCAGCCTTCTTTACGAAAACTGCAGCAATCGCAAACCTCTGCAGCTCCCCACCAGAGACCTGTCTTGCTTCACGCTCCAGGATCTGGTTCAACTCCATATCATCACAAATCTCTTCCATCAGTCCTCTCTCGTCCAGCTTCTCAAGCATCTTCCCAAGATTACCTCGAACAACTTCTTTAATGTGGTCGACATGTTGTGGCTTTATAGCAGTCTGTCATACATAGAAGGGGCATCAGACTCGCCCAGTGAGCTCCTTCCCTAAGAATAAATATCAAGAATAGTTTCCACCCTACCTTTAGATTCTCTTCTACGACTCGGATGAAATAGCTTTGAAGTTCTGACCCGCGGAAGTGAGTCAAAATATCTTCCCAGTCAGGAGGATTCTGTGCAAGAGGTAGTAGAATAATCAATCATACATAAATTACAGAGTAGAAACATCCCATAATAAGGGGTGGAGAAACTTGAGAGAGTCTATAGTTACATTAAATTTGCCAAGATTTGGTTTGAGTTTTCCAGCCAAAATTTTGAGAGCAGTAGATTTTCCAATACCGTTTGTTCCAACCAACCCAAGGACTTGCCCTGGCCTTGGAACTGGAAGCCTGTAAGACGAGATATATCTCAAGAGTCTTAAAGACTGATAATAAAACAGATTCCACAAGGAAAAAAAGATATATGTAGCTAACCTGTGCAGTTTGAAACCATTAGCCCCATATCGATGTGTTGTATCTTTCTCCAAGTCCTTAGGAAGATTGATAATCTGAATAGCTTCAAACGGGCATTTCTGTGCACAAACAAATCTCACTAAATGTCCAACTAACTAGAGGGAGACACATTGATTCAATGTAGAAAAGATAAAGCCTAAGCATAAGTACCTTCACACAGATACCACATCCTATACACAGCGCCTCTGACAAGAAAGCAGTCTTGGAGGTAGGAGCAACCTCGATACAAAGTTTCCCTAGAGAAACCAAAATTTAAGGAATAAAAATATGTTCTTTATGTAACAAGTCTCTCATAGACAACACAGCCCGAGGAAAAAGTACCAGTCTTTACAACAGGACAGCTCTTCTTACACTCCTGGCGGCATTTCTTGGGCTTGCACCGGTCCTCACTCACGATAGCGATTCGGGTCAATCGATCTGCCATCTCTCAACAAGGATACTACATTCACATGATACAAAAACAAAAATTCTACATTTTTATCTGTCTCACGTCTATGAGGTAGTCAAAAAAGGGGAAGCCTTTATCGGACGTTACTATGGGAAATCATCAATGGAGATAAAAAATAAGTAGATACATACAGTAACAGAGCTTAATCGACTAGTGAAAACAGGATATGCAATTAAGGGTAAAAGCAACAGGAATAGCTCATAAACTAGAGAACCAAAGTACCAAACCACATAAAGAGTATAGCAAAATCAAGCAAAAGAAAGAAAAAAAGACTAGTAAATGGATCTCGAAACAAGAGGAGACAAGAAGAAGAAGAAAAGGATCTCGTACTACAAAGGTGGCGATGAAGGTGGCGAAATCAACGGCGACGGTGGGAAACGGCACTCAAGCAAGTTAGGGCTTACAAAGGATTGGTCTTTTCCCCTCTTTTTCTCTCTATTGTATTCTCAAAAATGTTTTAATATGATGATATGGTTTGTGGACCTGTGTTGATACAAAGAAGAAAACATTAAAATTTTGTGGACTCCCAAACCCAAAGGAAAAAAAAAAAAAGAAGAGGAAATTATGGATTTGCTGACTAATATATGGACTTCTCAGCCAATGAGAATAGAGAATAATATCCACATTGCAACTCGTGCGACAAAAGAGGGGGCCATTCCTTGATATAAACAATTTATCACTTTTCTTTCATTATCACAAAAATTTATCGATGTTGATTTCCATTATATAAAGGAGATAAATTATTTTTAAAAATATCTAATATGTGTTTTCAAGTCTTGTTTACTGGATTATAAAGTATTTGGTTCTTGTTTCGAGAGATCGGCTTTCATCTTAATAAAATGTGGTTTATATTATTATTTTATTAGTTTTGGACAACCATGATAAATCTCTTTTTCATAAGATTCAATAGAAGATTTCTTTATGGTTTTTAAAATTGATGTATTTTCTTAGAATTAAGCTTAGTAGCATGTGTCTTTTGTTTAAGAGTTCGTTTTTCCGAATTTACATTTTCTGCTTTGTGTTGGTATCTTTTGTTTTTGCTTTATGTTTTCCGGAATTTTTAATTGTTTGTCGATTTTTTTCACTTGTTTAAGCTTTAGACTCCGAGATATTTTTGTTTTACGCGGATTTAAGTTATATTTCACAATATATCCTTTGAGTTTTATTAATATTACATATGACAAAAACGTATAATTAGCTAATCCTAGAAATGATTATATATTATTAATCATAATATTGTTTCATTGAATATATATAAACACATCACTTGAAATAAAACTTTGGATTTTCTGAGTTATATATGGACTTCTCAGCCAATGAGAATAGTATCCCCATTGCAATTCGTGCTATCAAAGAAGGGGCCCATTTCTTGATGAAAACAAACAAATGTCCTTTTTCTTTAAATTACAACTGTTGTTTTCCATCATACAAGTTTTTTATTTAGCTGGAGAAATTTTTTGAAAGTCTAATTTTAATTCTTTTTTTTAATGTTGATTTTTAGTTTTCCTTATAACATTCTTTATTAATATCAAATCGGAAATAGAAAGTTACAACAACATAGAAGAGATCTTATAAATAAATATGTATATATGAATTACATATTCTGTAAAACAAAAAATTCTGAAATCACAAACAAGATGCAAGAAACTAAATTAATCATCGCTGTATATCCTTATGACTTGTTGTTGATTTGGAGTTGCCCTAAGCTAGGAACATAAGAGCACACAAGGGGGCGACAATATAGGCGTGGAGTATATCCATCTTTGTCAGGTTTCCCGAGATTCCTAGCCTCTCCGACATTCACAGATTTGAAGTATCCATCCTGTCCAATTATGTAGGCTGTTTGGTTGCGACATGTCTCATTTCCTTTATCTTCGTCTAGATCGAAAACCACAGCAACTTTAATCTCCTCATCAATGAAGAAACTCCCAGCTCGAGGATTAACGCTAAAACCCGAGACCGAACTCAAAAACTTACTCCACACGACAGCATCGGGATCAATCTTATTTGTAACACAAATCTCCAGTACGTCACAAATTCCCCAGCTTTGATGTAATACCGCGAGCTGCTCTTCTCCGACACAAGACAGAGACACAAAATTATCTGCCTCATAAGAGCGAATCGGAAGAGGCAGACGCGGTCCAAATGTTTCTCTAGTAAAATCAAACGAGAGTAGAAAATCCTCAACCTTTCTTCGACCAACTTTTAATTTCTTCTCTTGAGCTAAGAAATATGCATTTCCCTTCAAAGACATGCCGCGTTGATGAGACTCTATATCCCAGTCGGGAGTTAGATGAAAAGCCTTCCACGAATCGGTTCGAAAACTGAAGACTTCATAGCCAAAAACTTGGTTTCTGCCTTCATAATCAGCAAAGATCCTCAAGATTTTGTGGTTACGGTCCTTGTCATATCCGAGAGCATACCTGTCTAACCTGTGGAAACTGTCTCTGGGTTGGATCCACCTAGTCTGCCCCAGATAAGGATTCCATACCACAAGCCTTGAGTTGTCCTTGAGAACGCATAGCAATAAACCGTCACAGTGAAAGACATTCGATATCTCGATTTTGTCAAGTATACCTACTTGCTTTATAGATGGATGAACGAACTCTTCATCGTTTCCAATTCCTTGGAGATTGAATCTCATCGAGCAAACCCTATAATCCATCATAATGAATCCCAAAAACTGCTTCCTTACTGCTGCTGCTTTACCAACAATCCGATTTTTGGATAAAGAGTTCCACTTTTTGCAAGTGGATCGCAACGCGCTCAGAGATGTCAATGGAACCTTAGGGAGTATCTCTTCTACCACATCCCCAGGAAGTTCAGACATTGTCGTCATTCTTCCAAGTTCCATAAAACAGCTGCAATGAAAAAGATAAAATTAACTTGAGAGAGATTATGAGTGTTTAGTGAGAGACGGGAAGCCAAGCAAATCCAAACACGCTATTCAGGTTATTAGGAAAAATCGGAAAAAACAAGTCAATATGCACGAAGCAAAAACTGGGAAAAGTACAAAACTTTAGCAGTATCACAGAATCCGAGTTCAAAGCAATGTTTTTTTTTTAAGAAGAAGAAGAAATTTAACAAAAACAAGCAACCTCACAAGCAGACAAGCTGGTGGATCATCTGATCTTGAAATAGGTCATCCCAGCGAAAACAGCATTAAAAGAAAAAAATGTTCCAGGAATGAAGCAAGCATAAGAAGGTGAAAATAAGAGAGGGGAACACAAGGATCTGGTACCAGTATAGAGCAGATCGGCGATGAGAAGACGTAGGAAGCTTAGAACGGCGAATCTACGGCTGTGAGGCGCGGCGGATTAGGGTTTGGTAATGGATTTTGCTTTATTTCCCCCCCCTCTCTTTTTTTTTTCTTCTTAATTCTCAAAGTATGATTCCCAAAGAAAGATCCTTTTTTTTTTGTTTTTTAAACCCCATGGACCAAAAAATAACAATATAAAAATGTGGACTCCAAACCAAAGATCCTTTTAAATCTGACTCGTCTAACCCAAATCCTCGTACGGAATAATATCTCCCTCGTCGGGACCATTTTCACAACAGATATTATTATTATTTAAATCAGTTATCTTACTTTGTAGTTTGTACACATACAGTATGTATAAAATATACAACCCATTATTTTTTTTTATTTTTTGCGGCATACATTATTTATTATTATTATGTATGACTAACAACCCATTATATAAAGGGTGTTTTACAAGAATAACACTTTATCCGATAAAATAAAAAAATTAAGAATATATTATAGCACTATATATTCTGTATTAATTAAGTAACTAACCTAAAGGGTGATGGTATTGGTCTCGGCAACGGCGATAGCTCCGGTGACCGCAATGTTGGCGCCTCGGCGGTGATGGGAGACGGACGTGGTGGTTCCTTTTCTAAAGGTAAAACTATATTATTACACATTATATACAATATGGACAGAGACAACAACAGAGTATAAAATCATGAATTCTCTTTATTTGTGTGATTAAGACATCCCACACACACAATTATATAAAATATTACGGTCGTAACAGTTGGGCACGTTGACAAGTGAAACAACACAACTATGAACTATCGATGTATCTAACACATGTACACCCACTAATATACACACCCTATGTCTGTCGGAGTAGAACGAGGTGATAAATTAACAGCGTATTGACTACGGGTCTACGTCTAGTAACTGGTGATCAGTTTGTATACAATTCATGAATGATGTATTCTCTCTCTTATCGTTAGATTAGTTTAATCGTAATATACAAGAAGATCCCAAGAAGATATGCTTCCTTTTGTTTATTGCGCTGCCGCAGCTATGTAGGCCTTGTTTGGGCCTTGCATTATGTAAAGGTAGGATATTCGAAACGATGTTCTTAAAAAGACATGGCTAAATTATATATGGAAGGAGACGTTTCTGAAACGTGCCGTTGCACTATATTATATTGAAAGGAGTTGAAAAAAAAGTCGGTTGTTCATTGTTTCATTTTAGATCGTGTGTTTAGTATAATATATTTTGGATGATTACAGAACTAGCGGAAATTTTGATTCCTATGCATATTTATGTACTTCATTTTTTTTTTCGTGATAGCACATACCACTTGCATGTCTTTATTTAATAAAATAACAAAAATGGAGAAAAATATTCACTTTTTAAATCATGAATTAAAAGACACAACAACAAATGAAATAGAAAAGACTGTACAACTTGATCGATTCTTGTTTTTGACAATAAAACATACGCCTATAATACTTTTAAAAAAAAAAAAAAAAAATCCTTTAAGAAGAAAGAAACCCTAATTATATTGTCTTGCCTTCTTCTCTCCTCCGCATCACCTATATATTCATCACCACCGCCGTTCCTATATCAAAGAAAACAAAAGAATATACAAGGAAAAATAACAACGACATAATTAAAAAATAGAACAATTAACGTCCATGCACATTCGCATCATATATTAGATAGCTTCAGAGATAAAACAATACTTAATAAGTTCTTAAACGTCCAACCAAATGTCCAAATAGCATAAATAAGATAAAACACATTCACGCAAACGGCTGGCATTATTAATTGTTCAACATAGATATGGATAGATAGGGCCGTGGGATAACTAGAGAGAGAGAGTCGTAAAACGACTAGTTCAGGCTCTTCACTTCAACTGTCTCGCAGATTTGTCTTCAAGATATGCATCCAAGAGCGCGAGTTTTCCTGGAACTAGAGTTTTTTTCTTCTTTGATGCATCCCTAACGTTTAGCCATTCTTGGACGAGTGATTCATGGAGAGCACCATGAAATTCCAGAATGCCCATCACCTGTTGTTATACGACCAAAACGTATATATATATTACAAATTAAACTATATATGTATAAAATAAAAATAAGTTAACCCACCAAAAATGATATACTGTAATCACTACTTATACCTGAACAAATCTTGGTGGGTCTTCGAGAAATGTGTCCTCCAAATGCCCAATCATAGTCACCTGGTCGAAGCCAAAACGTGTGAGAATATTTCCATAGCGCTCAAAATAGTTTGCGAAGTTGTCTGAAAAGTGAAACCATTACTATGAGTCTTTGAAATAGTTACAAAATAAATAGTATGCACAAACAAAATAATAATATATGAGTAGACAAAAAAAAACAACAACAAAAATATATATGTAGAAATTTATTTATACCTCCTCCTAGTGCGAGCATCGACTCAAACACCTCCGCCGCAATCTCGTCACGTGTTGCGACCTCTTTGTAACGTCCCCTATATATGCCAAACGCCACACACACACACAAAGTAACCAAAAAGAAAAAATAATAAGTCATGAACCAAAATATTCTATATAATAAATTAATGAAAACATAGTAAACTGATTATAACATTATGGCATTGAGTTCAGCATCCAGTTTTGGTGTTTTTTTCCCATCGGCAGAACTCAAAAACTTCCGAATCTATAGAAAAAAAAAACAAAGAAAAAGAGAAGAAGAACCAATTAGCATATTAAAATTTAAAAGAAAAGACTAATAAAAAAATAACGAAGAAAAGAGAAATGTATAACCTCCTCTTGTCTAGCATCCATTTTTTCTTCTTTCAAATGTTTTTTTTTTTCAAGTGTAAAACATAAAAGAATCACACCACCATCTAATATTTTATACTAGTTCACATTTACCTAGGTTTAAAGTTTAAAAAAACAAGTTACTATTTACTATGGCAACACAAGATAATCAATATTAAGAGTCTTAGTGGTTGTAACCACTCTAAATACTCTGATTATAAAGTTTCAGTTTTGGAAATATATGTTGAACTCTAACATCATTTTAAGAAAACAAATATGGTCCAAAAAGATTCTTTGATGATGCATGTATTTGTAAATGTTTTTCTCAAGAGAAAGAGAGAGTATATGAGTGTTTGGTAAGAAACCTCCAAAACTTTAATTGTTGTTTTCTAGTTTAGAAAACTTATTTATGGACTTCTCAGCCAATGAGGGAATACATTAATAACCCCATTGCAATTCGTGCTATAAGAGGAAGTGAGGAACCATGTTCCTTGGTATAAACATATATCCTCTTTCTTTCAATTATTACAACTTTACAAGTTGTGTTTTCCATCAAACAAATTTACCTAGAGAAAATTTGTAAAAACGTCTAATTAAGACGTACGGTTGTTAATGAAGACTTCGTATGCTTATGCAGCTAAACACGGCTATGCATTACAAGTAATTGAAGCAAATAAGGTATTTACATCTTTAAAATTACTAACCAGTATGCTTATGTACATTAATTTTTGTAGAAGAAGAAATAAGAGACGAATATTAATTCCTACATCGTTTCTTTTTCATATTTTTTTTCTTACAATATTGTATGATTCGTTATTTATGAATCCTACTAATATAATGTAAAAGAAATATAACTAATATATAACAGAATCGAAATTATGAAAACTAATAGGTCGTATATATTCTTAGTTACGTCATGATGAATTTATCCATCTTTACCAACGTGTAAGATTGAATATAGTACAACTAAAGTTATTTTCGGACGTTTACATGAAAACCTAAACTAAAATGGTATTGTTGTTAAATATGCATATGTATATACTGTAGTATAATATTTCAACAGCTTATAATTTTATCAAATTATATATATACACGGGCCATGCTAGGTCCGGATGGAAAGCCACAGCCAACTGAGACCGGATCCGGAACCGTGAGGAAATATGCCAATTAGGCTCACTGCAATTCAAAGTAAATAACGAACATCACGCTCATATAACTTGAATGACGAATTTATGGAGAAGTAAGGCATCAAGCCACCAGTCTACGAACAAGATTCGGAAGAGTGGGTTTATAAAAGCTCTTAAGGGATAATATATATTATAGAACTTTGGAGAGGGCATAGACTCTTTAGTATTACTGCTCGAAACTATACAGTTGTGTACTTCCATTTTTGAGATCAATAACTCTTTCATTTTTGTTTTCCCACTAATCTTGTTCAATATCTATTACTTTGAATTTCATCTCGACAAAAGTCTAGACTAGAAAAATCAAATAAATTCTTGAGTGTTCGGACCTTGTATCTACATGTAATATAATGGAAACCTTGTCAAAGTTTATAAAGTTTTCATATTTAATAAGAGATATTTCTCAAAATAAGTAAAAAATGATAAAAGTTTTATTGTTTTTGGGTATCCTAATAAAAATATCATAATAACTCGAAATACTAAAAGAATTTTCAAAAGAAAATCGAACGGAATTATGCAAGTATTCAGGTCTAGTTGTTGTTGTTATCATCATCATTGATGGTGTGTTAATGAGCTTTAAAATTGTGCACAGTCTTGTTGTATTCTACCAACCCTTATTAAATGATAAAACATGTTCAACTTCACAAGCATTTTTGAAACAAGTCCATTATTTTATTTGGGTCGTATTAGACTTTTCGTGGAATATACTAAAAGACTCTAAGAGAACCCATCAAGCCAATTCGGTATCCGGTGGTTGGTTAAGATTTAAGAGTGAATCAGAATATTATTTAAAGAAAAATTTAAAAAAAAAAGGAAAAAAAAGAATATTATTTAAAGGATTATTATTTTGAAGAATCTGGTTTGTAAATCTTCTCTTTTACTTTATTTTTTTGGAGTTTCACATGTTTTGCAAACAGAACAATGCAACATAAATATCATTGGAATAAGACGATCGCAATCAATCCATGTAAGTATTTTAACGCTTAAAGTTAACTCAAGACGGTAGACATAAATACAGAATTTTTTGTTTCTTTTACCAATACAGAATAATTAAAGGTGATGTTTCAGTCTTAAACTACTAGTAGTACACTTCCCCAACAAGTTGTAAATTTTAAGTATATATGCATATCAGCATATGCATAAGCTCTATTTCTCTCTCTCTCACCGATCAATCAATCGTCTAAGTAGTAGTATGAGCCCGCAGCTTTTTGCTCCTTGTCCTTGGTAGACTCTAACTTGTTGATCCTTGGCCTGAAGTTTGTTGGATCTCGTCTGAATGTGATGTTCAGGTGCTGCAAAGGACAAGACCTTAGTTCGAAGGAGATTGATTCATAACAACACAAAAAGGTCTTAAAGAGTGTTAGTTAGATTACCGATAAGAAGAGGTTCATTCCGCTGAGCAGCGACTGTGGTGAGTGAGCAATACACTTGACAGCTGGCTGTCCTTCATACACAATGACTCGGTCCGCAAGATACGTCGCCATTATAAAGTCATGCTCCACAATAAACGCTGTTTTCTTTGCATGCAGGATGAACCGTTTTATCACCTTTGAAGCTGCGATCCGCTGCTCTGAGTCCAAATGCGCACTTGGCTCATCGATCAGATAGATATCAGCAGGCTTCCCGAGGCATAGAGTAATGGCAACCCTCTGCTTCTCTCCACCCGACAGGGTTTTTACCACTTGATCCAACAACGGCTCAATCTGAAGCGGTCTTATTACATCTGACACAAACTGAGGATGCATATATGCATCACGAATCTTATCATGTAACAACTGTCTCACTGTACACTCGCGCTTCGAGTCATTCCCTTGCGGTTTGTACGACACATTAAACTCTGGCATATCCGAGTCTACACCCTCTTCACGTGGGAATGCGCCTGCCTGCATTAGGATACACATATCATTCCTTCAACGTCTAACCACAATAAGCAGAGAAAACAAAGCAAATAAATTTTACCAGCATCCGGATGAAGGTCGTTTTCCCTGTACCATTCTCTCCGAGCATTACAATTATCTGAGAGTCTGTGAACTCCCCTTCCATCACTTCCAGCTTGAAACCTCCAAGTTGCTTACTCATGTTTGGGTATTTGTATCTTGCATAGGACTTCACTTCTTCATCAGTCTCTTGTGTAGTATCAGAAACCTTGGAAGGAGAAGAAAAAATCATATAAGTCACAAGACTCACAAATGACAACCACTTTTCTTGGAGGCCACTGAAAAAAGCTTTACCCTGAAGGTCAGAGATTCATCCCTGAAACGCAAGTTTTCTGTGGGGATAAACCCGGCCAAGAACACGTTGATTCCTTCTCTGACAGAAAAGGGTAGAGTCACGACACCATATGCTCCTGGTTTCCCATACAAACAGCAAACGAAATCCGAGAGATAGTCAAGGACGCTGAGGTCGTGCTCCACAACAATTACGTAGCTACAACAACAAAAAGGCGAAGTCAGTAAAAGCAGCATGCATCTTATTCTGGTAAATAAACTCAAATTAAAGGAGTTCAGAAGATGAGAAAATCAAACCTGTCATGCCTGAGGAGCGAGCGTATAACTTGAGCAGCTTTGAGTCTCTGCCTCACATCGAGGTAACTAGATGGTTCATCAAACATGTATATATCAGCCTTCTTTACGAAAACTGCAGCAATCGCAAACCTCTGCAGCTCCCCACCAGAGACCTGTCTTGCTTCACGCTCCAGGATCTGGTTCAACTCCATATCATCACAAATCTCTTCCATCAGTCCTCTCTCGTCCAGCTTCTCAAGCATCTTCCCAAGATTACCTCGAACAACTTCTTTAATGTGGTCGACATGTTGTGGTTTTATAGCAGTCTGTCATACATAGAAGTGGCATCAGACTCGCTTTGTGAGCTGCTTCCTAAAGAATAAATATCAAGAATAGTTTACACCATATACCTTTAGATTCTCTTCTACGACTCGGATGAAATAGCTTTGAAGTTCTGACCCGCGGAAGTGAGTCAAAATATCTTCCCAGTCAGGAGGGTTCTGCGCAAGAGGTAGTAGAATAATCAATCATACATAAACTACAGAGTAGAAACATCCTATAATAAGGGGTAGAGAAAGTTGAGAGAGTCTATAGTTACATTAAATTTGCCAAGATTTGGTTTGAGTTTTCCAGCCAAAATTTTGAGAGCAGTAGACTTTCCAATACCGTTTGTTCCAACCAACCCAAGGACTTGCCCTGGCCTTGGAACTGGAAGCCTGCAAGACGAGATATATCTCAAGAGTCTTAAAGACTGATAATAAAACAGATTCCACAAGGAAAAAAAAGATATATGTAGCTAACCTGTGCAATTTAAAACCATTAGCCCCGTATCGATGTGTTGTATCTTTCTCCAAGTCCTTAGGAAGATTGATAATCTGAATAGCTTCAAACGGGCATTTCTGTGCACAAACAAATCTCACTCAGTGTCCAACTAACTAGAGGGAGACACAATGATTCAATGTAAAAAAGATAGAGCCTAGGCATAAGTACCTTCACACAGATACCACATCCTATACACAGCGCCTCTGACAAGAAAGCAGTCTTGGAGGTAGGAGCAACCTCGATACAAAGTTTCCCTAGAGAAACCAAAATTTAAAGGCATAAAAAAATATGTTCTGTATGTAACAAGTGTATCATAGACAACACAGCCCGAGGAAAAAGTACCAGTCTTGACAACAGGACAGCTCTTCTTACACTCCTGGCGGCATTTCTTGGGCTTGCACCGGTCCTCACTCACGATAGCGATTCGGGTCAATCGATCTGCCATCTCTCGACAAGGATACTACATTCACATGATACAAAAACAAAAATTCTACATTTTTATCTGTCTCACGTCTATGAGGTAATAAAAAAAGGGGAAGCCTTTATCGGACGTTGCTTAGGGAAATCATCCATGGAGATAAAAAATAAGTAGATACATACAATAACAGAGCTAAATCGACAAGTGAGAACAGGATATGCAATTAAGGGTAAAACCAACAGGAAGAGCTCATAAACTAGAGAACCAAACCACATAAAGAGTGTAGCAGAATCAAGCAAAAGAAAGAAAAAAAAGACTAGTAAATGGATCTCGAAACAAGAGGGAATAAGAAGAAGAAGAAGAAGAAGAAGAAGAAGAAGAAGAAGAAGAAGAAGAAGAAGAAGAAGAAAAGGATCTCGTACAACAAATGTGGCGATGAAGGTGGCGAAATCAACGGCGACGGTGGGAACGGCACTTAAGCAGGCTAGGGCTTACAAAGGATTTGTCTTTTTCCCTCTTTTCTCTCTATTGTAAATTCTCAAAAATGTTTTGTGATGATATGCTTTGTGGACCTGTGTTGATACACAGAAGAAAACATTAAAATTTTGTGGACTCCCAAACAAAAAAAAAAAAAAAAAGGAAATTATGGATTTGCTGACTAATATATGGACTTCTCAGCCAATGAGAATAGAGAATAGAGAATAATATCCACATTGCAACTCGTGCGATAAAAGAGGGGGCCATTCCTTGATATAAACAATTTATCACTTTTCTTTCATTATTACAAAAAAATTTACAGCTGGTGTTTTCCATTATATAAAGGAGATAAATTGTAAACAAAAATGTCTAATATAAGTATAATTAGCTAATCCAGACGACCAAAAAAAAAAAGTTAATCCTAGAAATGATTTGTATATTAATCATAAGCATATATTGTTTCATTGAAATATATTTAAACACACCACTTGAAATAAGACATGATTTATATTGACTTTTTAAATAAAACAAATTTGCTTTCCACTTAATAAAAAAATATGAATAGGGAGGGCACTAACTGACGTCAATTTACCAAAAAAAAAATATGAAAGTTTTAATAATGAACAAAATAAAAATTAGTCATCATTTGTCACAATTTTGATATTTAAAGTGAAGGCTATATATATCCTGAACATGGCTGGGAAATTTTATTAAATGTTTCCGAAAGAAGTATTGTGGTCTTCAAAATAAGACAAACGAAGACATATCTTTGTTCTTAGCTCCTAAGCAAGTTGACGTGAACAGCTGAGACGAAGCTAAAACATGCAAAAGCTGAATTCATTTATAAACTGCAAACACACATATTAATAAATTACTATCATTTGTCTCTTGTTCAGACGAGACATGCAAGAAGCTAATTAAATTAATCATGGCTCTCTATCATTGTGCCTGGTTGGTTGATTTGGAGTTGCACTAAGGTAGGAACATATGAGCAGACAAGGGGGCGACTATATATGCGTTGAGTATATCCATCTTTGTCAGGTATCCCGAGATTCCGAGCCTCTCCAATATTCACAGATTTGAAGTATCCATCCTCTCCAATTATGTAGGCTGTTTGGTTGCGACATGTCTCATTTCTTTTATCTCCGTCTAGATCGAAAATCACAGCAACTTTGATCTCCTCGTCAATGAAGAAACTCCCAGCTAGAGGATTAACGCTAAAATCAGAGACCGAACTCAAAAACTCGCTCCACGAGACAGCCCCGGGATCAATCTTATTTGTAACCCAAATCTCCACAACGTCACTAATCTCCCAGCTTTGATGTAACACTGCGAGCTGCTCTTCTCCCACACAAGACAGAGACACAAAATAATCTGCCTCGTCAGATTGCAACGGAAGAGGCAGACGCGGTCCAAATCTTTCTCTAGTAAAATCAAATGCGAGTAGAATATCCTCAACCTTTCCTCCACCAACTGTTATTTTCTTCTCTTGAGCTAAGAAATATGTGTTTCCCTTCAAAGACACGCCACGTTGATGGGACTCTATATCCCAGTCGGGAGTTAGACAGAAAGCCTTCCACGAATCAGTTCGAAAACTATAGACTTCATAACCAGAAACTTGGTTTCTGCCTTCATAATCAGCAAAGACCCTCAAGATTTTGTGGTTACGGTCCTTGTCATATCCGAGAGCATACCTGTCTAACTTGTGGAAACTGTCTCTTGGTTGGATCCACCTAGTCTGCCCCAGATAATGATTCCATACCACAAGCCTTGAGTTGTCCTTGAGAACGCATAGCAATAAACCGTCACAGTGAAAGACTTTAGATACCTCGATTTGGTCAAGTATATCTACTTGCTTTATTGATGGATCAACGAACTCTCCGTCGTTTCGGATGCCTTGAAGATCGAATCTCATCGAGCAAACCTTGTAATCCATCATAATGAATCCCAAAAACTGCTTCCTCACGGCTGCAAAAACTCTGTATTTGGATAAAGAGTTCCACTTTTTGCAAGTTGAACGCACCGCCCTCAGAGACGTCAATGGAACTCTAGGGAGTATCTCATTTACCACATCCTCAGGAAGTTCAGACATTGTCGTCATTCGTCCAAATTCCAAACCAAAAGATAAAAAACAGCTGGAGAGGAAAATAGATAATTAATTAGGAGTGACTAGTGAGTGTGTATAACTTTGAGAGAGATTATGAGTGTTTATTAGTGAGAAACGAAAAAGGGAGACTCATCAAAGATTCAAGAAGATGATAGAATCAAACCTGTGAGGGGACTGAGAAGCGAGCGTATAGCTTGAGCAGCTGAATTGAAAGTGGGCGATGGTGGTGATGTTAAGTGCTGAATCCGTAACGCCAAATTAGTATGGAAAACACAGGTTTTAGGGATAGATTTTTAACGTTTGTTAGCTATGGGTTGGTCTCTTTTTCTTCTCTATATAATACTAGAAGATTCGCAAAATATATTTAAAGAACATTAAAATTTTGGTGTCTACAAATTAAACAAAACAGTTAAAAGGAAACTTTGGATTTTTCTGACATATTTTATGGACTAATACAGAATAATATCCCCATAGCAATTCTTGCTAAGAGGGACAATTCCTTCCTTGATAGAAACCGTTATCCTTTTTTCAATTATTACAAATTTACAACTGGTCTTTTCCTTCCAAAACAAATTTATATGGAGAAATTTGTAAAATGTCTAATTTATCCTAATGAATTTACTTTACATAAACTAACTAAAATAATTTTGTTTGTATATTTAGGCCAGTCTAATTGTAGTGGACCAGACTCAAGAGATGAATGACAATGTGGTCCTAAAGAAGGTGGGGAGTGTTGATGATTGAACTTCCCGTTTAAAGTGGGGAAGCAAGCACGATCACGATTGTTGGTTGGTGCGATGTGGCGTCGAGGGTAGGCATGACCACGGTTACGGTTAATGCGGTTATGGTTAAATAACCACCGGTTGACGGTTATAATTTTTTTTAACCGTGATCTTAACCATTTGATATACGGTTAAGACGGTTACGGTTATATGCGGTTACGGTTAATTACGGTTAAATACGGTTACGGTTATTTGATTATTATTATAATGTTAACATTGGAGGCAAAATTATATATTTTTAACCTTTATAATAATAATAAAATAATATATGATTAAAAATAGTTTAGTATGAAATGTTTTGATAACTTACAAGTTCAACTTGTTGTATCGCTTTTAATAACGTGAAAATCTTATCCAAACATTCAATGTGTCTTTTCATTGTATATAATTATAGTTACAATTTATTTTTAAAATTTTAAATATTCGGTTAATCATGCGGTTAACCTTACGGTTTATAACGGTTAAACAGCGGTTTATTACGGTTACGGTTAATTAACGGTTACGGTTAGTATTTTTTTATAACTGTAACTAATTTATTTATACGGTTAACGGTTACGATTTTTAACCATTGTAAACGGTTACGGTCCGGTTACGGTTTACCGTAAAAGTAAATTAGTTACGGTTAAAAAATAATAATAACCGTAACCGTTAAC